CCCTCCTTCTAGTGCTAACTACTGTGAATATTTATTTGGGGTTAGTTAGGTAAATTTAGAATAAATGACTATTTATCTATATCCCCCTCATAATATATATATATAGTTAGAAAATAATAAAGTAATAAAAAATATTTCTATTAATATTTAATATTAAAACATAATAGCAATGGTCAAAGTTAGTTGAAGAAGAGTTGTAGAAAAAACTAATAAAGTTTTTTTTGTGCATTCATGAAAGTGATTTTTGGAATGATAAAAGCATTTCTTCAAAAACATTCAAATGAGTCAAATAAAAAATATTCTAAAAATAATCTTTAAATTAAATTATAGAAATTATAAAAATATACATTTGCTTTTAGTTTCTAAAAAACACGATAGACATGCATACACAAACAAACACATATATTTGAAGGACAAATTTTCAAAAGAGACCCATTTGTGAATTTAATCCCAAAAAACGACCTTATTCAAACATATATTTTCAAAAGAGACCCATTTGTGAATTTAATCCCAAAAAACGACCTTATTCAAACATATTTACAAAAACTGGTCTGGTTTCAGCCTCAGCGCTGAAACCAGGTCGGTTTTTGAAATTTTTTTTCCGAAACTTCACGGGAGTTGAACTCCCGTGAAGTTTAGCAGATCTACTAAACTTCACGGGAGTTGAACTCCCGTGAAGTTTCGGAATTTTTTTTTTCAAAAACCGACCTGGTTTCAACGCTGAGGCTGAAACCAGATCGGTTTTGTAAATATGTTTGAATTATGTTGTTTTTTGGGAATAAAAATCTAAATGGGTCTCTTTTGAAAATAATCTATATTTACTCTATAATTTAATTTTACTCAAGGAGGGTTATGATCCCTTTGGCCCCTTATAACTCCGTCTTTGACCAAAAAATAATAGAGATGCCACTACATTTATTTTAACTATTGAGTATTTTAATGGATGATTGTAGTTCATCTTCTTGAGTGCAAAATAGGAACTAATGTAACTTATGGATTCGAATACACAACCAAAACTTAGGGCTTGTTTGGATTTGAAGGGGGTGAAGGGAAGTTAGGGGAATTTAGGGGAAGTTAAGTTAAGGGAAGGGAAGGGAAGGGAAATTTTAGAACTTGTTTGGGAAACTAGTAAGGTGAATCAATGAGAAATTATTTCACCCCGTTTGGAAAGTGTAATAACAGGAAAGGAAGGGAAGGGAATGTATATAAATTGACATAAATACTCTCACATATTATTAAGTTATATTGTTGTTAGAAATTTTAGCCGTTGGATTTTGATCTTAGCTAGGGGTAAATATGTCTCTCTACATTTGTTGTATTCCCCCTCTTTACCTTCACCCCCATTACACCCCAAGGGGGGGGGGGGGGAAGAAATCATGTTATTTTTTCACCTCCTTTCACCTCTCATCACCCCTATTAACTTGCTATATTTACTTCCCAAACAAGGTTAAAAGTTACCCTCACTTCCCCTCACCCCTATTACCCTCAATCCAAACAAGCCCTTAGTGAATAAACTACTAATATATCATAACCGTTGATTCTCTTTAGTGAGTGGCTGGGACTCATCTTCGAGCGTAAAATAGAAAAGAGCGCAACTCATAAAGGTATGGTGATTGCCAAATTTAGAAAGAATCATAACTTATTAGGCAAATAAACTATTGTAGCTAAAGTATTAGTCTTTTCTTTATTTTTGGTAGTGGAGAGTAGGGGTGAGCACGGTTCGGTTCGGGTCGGTTTTTACCAAAATTTGAACAACCGAACCGAACCACCTATAATTCAAAACCGAACCGAACCGTTGCAAATCGGTTCGGTGCGGTTCGGTTCGGTTCGTTCGGTTCTAAATTTCATCAAGTATAACAATCAAATGCACAAATATTGCTTGTCCCAAGAGATAATTTGTATATATTTGTTTTCATATGCGCCCAAATGCAAATCATTTGAGCCACGGCTAAGATACTTAAGCGCCGTGCACACTTGAATCAACAACTAACCTAAGGGACAACATACACAGAAGTGCTGAATTGAGTGATTAAATGGGGAAAATCCAACTCAAAGGGCACTAACATACTCCAACAAGAAGCGCCCATTCCACCTACTTCATGTTCAATTCAAAGACAACAACAGAGGAAATTGAAGAAAAATTAATACTACGTACCTTGAGAGGAAGGAGCCGGAGGAAAAGAGGAGACTGGAATGCTCTCGAAGCAAGAATTGAGCTTCTCAGAGGGGCTCCACAGCTTGAAGTTGAGGGCCGGGTGGAGGTGGGGGTGGGGGTCGGACAGGAGGGCGGCGGCGCAGATGGAGAGGACGGCGGTGGGGGGTCGGCTGGGGCCCGTCGCTGGCGTTAGCGTTCGAGGTCGAGTTCGAGTTCGAGTCCTCCTCTGAGTCGTCGGAGGACTTGGACTTCTTGATGGAGTTGAAGGAGAACTCCTAACGCTCGTCGCCGAAGGGGCCGCCACGCTTGCGGGAGGGGGAGGGGGAGATGGGCATTTCGGGAAGAGGAGGTGAGAGTAAGGGGTCTTGGAAGAAGAGAGAGAGCGGGAGAGAGGGATTGAGGCCGAGGGAAATGGGAAATTGGGAATGAGTAGCGGCGGCTGGGATTTGGGAATGAGAGGAAATGAAGTTAGGGTTGAGGGTTTGGGACGGGTCGGGTAAACGCGAACGGGTTTGAAAGTTTTGGGAATATATTCGGTCGGTTCGGGTCGGGTCGGTTTGAAAAGTTGTCAACCCGACCCGAACCGCCTTACTCTTAAAACCGCTTTTTTCGGGTCGGTTCGGGTCGGTTCGGTCGGTTTTTTCGGTTTGAACCGAACCATGCTCAGCCCTAGTGGAGAGGATCCATATCCATAATTTATGGAGTATGCTAAATGTGTTTACTTAGAATGGATCACATTCCTTCACAACCATCAATTAAGCAACTAACTGTTGAAATTAAAAAAAAGATGATCTCCCCCACTACCTTTTGGTAACGGAGAAGATTTAAATTGCTCCATTTGATTATTGAGTGTAAAACAGGAATAAATATAATTCATAAGGATGTTGTAAGTGGTCCAAACTCATCCAAAAACAACTAACGATTTAAATTAAAAGTAGTAGAATGTCCATTACTATTAGACAATGTTCTAGAGGATCCACTATAATGATAATATTAAATAGGCTACAAACCAAAATTACTCTTAAGCTATCTATATCTATATCTATGCTACTATAAAAAGAGGATTTGAGTGCTAAAACTTTTAATCTTCTTTTTTGCCCTCTCAAATTTTGATAAATTCTAACGATGTCATTATCTCTAATTAATCATTCATTAAATAAATATAACCTCTTTTAATTATGCACCTCATCACCTTCCTAAAAAATTATAATTATCAATAATATTATAACTATTATTTGTTTAAAAATAATAAAATAAAATAATTTATGAAACAGCATAAAATAATTTATAAAATAAGTATAC